GAGCTGCAGCAAGCTCTGCTGCAGGCACAAAAACCAGGTACACTTGCGCAAGCTGTTCTTCGGCTAGTGATAGGTGCTGATCTGACATTAGCACATGTGACTGGCATTTCAGCGCTCTCAGATGATGAGATACAAGACCAGCTGACCATCGCTCAACGCGAAACTATGGAAGCCAAGGCAGAATATGAACTTCGCAATAGGATCTCACACAACGTCTTGGTCATGGATCCTGTATTGAAAGCTGTTCATGGTGGGGAGCGTGCTGGGTATGCTGAAAAGTGCGTTGAACACAGCAAACATATTATCAGTCTAACAGCGTCAGACGCATTCTGCCATTGATCACAGAAAATGACACCCTTTCTATGCTACACGGCTCCTTGACAACCAATTTAGTATCTACCCAACGCGCCATTAGCGCAGCAGAACAGGCAAATGTTATCGCGATCCGTAAGAACCGCGAGCTGTCTGCCACAATGCTCTCGCTAGCCGAGGAAATGAAAACACAATCAGCTAAAGATATTGAAGATCCCCAATTACGCGACCAGGTAGACGCAGTGGATAAGGGACTGAAAGAGTCCATGAGAAAGACGCGGACGCTGAAGGGGATTCTCTCAGCGATGATTGTTGGCAGCGGAATCAACTGGGCGGCCGATGAAGAGCTGACCGAACTCGTGATGGAGGATGAAGAAGATGGCTGAAATTATGGAATCCTTGCCTGATCCTAAATACATCTTGTGTATAGTCAGAGGAAGATCGTCCATCAAGACTACATTTGCGACGAGATCCGTTTCTTCGAGCTTGTTGTCCTGGAAAAGCTAAACAGAGGCAACATCGATGGTTGCTTAGTTGAGTCGATAATATGTCAGCCGCTGCGGTTTTGATTGTGAAGGTGCGCCAGTGAACTTAAGGGTGACTTACGCATCTGTAGTGTAAGTAGCATGGGAGGACAAATCTCCCAAGGCAGCATGCCGGTGAAGAGCAGGACGCATTCCATATATGTGAAGTGAATGACCATGCGAAGAGATAAATTGATAGTTGATATTGCCAAGTTGTGATAAGCCGAGTATATTCGACTAAAACTCTGTACATAGAAGTTATCTCATTTGATTTTACCTGTGTCAATAGCGGCACATATAGGTAGCGCAAGGGGATATTGCCAGCAGTACCATAGCATGTCGTCATTCAATGGATAGTAGCAAGTATCCTTAAAAGATTAGCGTCTGTATTTACCTCGATTCTGTTTGAATGGGGAAAGAGGTACACCTTACTATCATAGAATTGTAGGCCGATCCATGTGTTGTTATATTGATCCGTCCTTCGATTTTGACAAAGTTTGTTGATCCATCTGGGATGTTCTTTCACCTTATTAAAGACAAGGTGATTCTATCCCCCCCGGTAGGCATTGCGAAATATATCGAGCGAAGGCTCACTAATATTCATGCGGAGTAGTCTTCTCAGTAGACATCCTTTATTATGTTTCGTTAACCTCTTTCACTATTTCTGCGCCCCACATGCACTTTTGTAGTCGCAAACTAATTATTGCCGGCAACCATCATCATTTGTTTAGTCTTGGAACAATGCAATAGCGTTGCTTGTGGGGAATTTTCTCTGCTATATGTATCTAAACTATTGAATACCGAATGCACACAATTCTCTGCAAGCTAAAGAACGAAGCACTCGAGACAAGTGTTTCCAAAGACAGCATGTTACGCTTTTGCCCCTGTTTTGCCTGCACTATGACTCGTGAAGGCAGTAGGCTCTAGTGGTTATTTACATACAGAACGGTTTACAATTCATTGCCATACCTCAAACATGCTGTTGGTTATGTTGCGTTGCAAGAAACAGCTTGACGCAGTTGCTGACAGAAGACGTCCATGTGGTTGCCAGAGCGACGGCTCTCGGCGCATTTATAATCCCGGCTTTAGGTGCTGTCTGCGTATTCGAGGTCCTGCACGACAACTATCAGACGTTAGAATTGATGATAAGAGCAATATCAAATTTCCCTGTCCTTTGCATTTCTTCCAGTTCTGAGAGTATCCTTGAATGAGCGTGACATGAGGGGGTTTACTAGGTGTGTCTGCCTGCCTATAAGTGCACCAAGGGCAGCTATGACTTTTTTTCCTTTGCGACATTTGTGCTATCAAATTCAGATCTACCACCAGGATACGGTAAGACGAATGACATGCAGTCACCTTGCAGCAGGCATGCGCTCTGGGCCGATTCCGGTGTGGTTGAATCAGCGAAACAGCTCCGTCTCCCAATGCGGACGTCTTGACCGCTGCCGTTCGCGACCTGCTTAGCAGTGTGAGAATGTGTCGGGAGGCCGTGTCACAACCCTTAGGTCAGACATCCGCGACCTGCGCATGTCGCCAACTTTAAGTAATTCTTGGTGCATTGAAAGCCGTAGTCAGACTAGTAGAGACTGGTATTACTTGTTGGGCTTATACTGGCCGCGCAATGAGTGATTTGAGTAGAGATAGTGCTGTTGACCGCAAGAGAGCAAAACTTGATATTTTCTCCTAGATACAACGAATAGCCCTAGAACTTCGTGGAGAAGGCTGAGACAAGGCTAGAAGCTGCAGATCCGGCTATTTTGATGCAGGCGTATCTACCGCTACCGAACGGCATCGAGAACACGGAAGATGGGTCAACTGCTGCAGCACAGGGCGCAACCAACAGATGGATGCTAGGAAAACACCACCAGTGAGCCTAGCACCTAGCCAGCCAGCTGCGGTATTAAGGCAGCGTTAGAAAGGGGAGTGGTGCATATCCAACGAATGATACAGCTCAGTCTCCTGCGTGCAATCTAACCACATGAAACGAGCCTGGCAAGTAGGTAGGGCATCGACGACGCGAGAGGCGCCGCAAGTTCCGTGAGGGTGTTCGGCATCAAGAAGAGACTGGTGCGTTGAAGAGTTACCTATAGCAGCTGAACAGGTAGGTAGTCAGGGTAGTAAAATGGTTATCAGCAGAACAAGAGAGATGGCCGAATCCACGTATCCACGTGGTCATCATATCATGTCCTCCTTTGTGCGCTGTAGACGAACGGGCAGAAGCCGTATGGGAGGGGCTTTGCCGGGTGCAAGTCAAGTGCGGGCGGGCAAAAACAAGCTGTGACCTTCTGGTGAGGTCCTGCTGACTCAGCCGCTCGTAGGGTAGGAGCGATATCCCCCCATACTGCGCGCGCTCGCACTCCGGCCGCTGCTCACCACTTCTCTACTACAGCGCTCACCATACAAATCTTCCACCCAAACTCGTCTGGTAAGTTTCCTCGGTTGCATGCTACAGAGTCGCATCACCGCGCACTCATAGTCAACACCACCACACCTTTTTTCACGCTTTTTCCCCTCTCAATTCCCACAAACACGTCTCTACCTGCCTCCATTTCTTCATCTTGCGAGCGTCATCGCGTTCGCTTTCCTTTTCATCACCTCGCCAGCATCGCAATCAGGCGCATACTGACCGCAAAATAGTCCTTCAACAACCACCTGAAATCTTTCTGTTTCCGCAAATCCCGTAAGTTTCTGCAGCTTCTGTTATCATAAATCGCGCATCATCGCGTCCGTATCGTGGTGTTTTGGACCGCGTCACTATTGCGCGCATCCTAACCATGCCGCGCCATCTATCACCCAATGTACTCCCAACAACGCCAGTATCAGAGCATTTGCCAACACCACTTACACGGCTCTTTGCTATTAGATGGCCGCTTTCACCTTTTTCTTCTTCTTTTTCTACTTCTTCTCTCCTCCTTATGCCCACTACAAACAACATTTACAATCTGAGCCTCATCTAACATCCAACCACAGCCTCACCAACACAACCTCACTATGCCTAAGGAGAAGGTAACCCGCGGTAAGGGCAAGGGCGCCAAGGCCGATGGTGGTAAGAAGAAGAAGGGTAAGTTGCTCATATGCCGACCTTTGCAACCTCTTTTCTAACCTTGACAGACCCCAACGCCCCTAAGCGTGGTCTCTCCGCCTACATGTTCTTCGCCAACGAGCAGCGTGAGAAGGTCCGCGAGGACAACCCTGGCATCAAGTTCGGTGAGTTCTGATCATTCGAATTTCCAGACGTACTCAGTCCTAATCTAGCCTAGGCGAGGTCGGCAAGCTTCTCGGTGAAAAGTGGAAGGCTCTGTCTGAGAAGCAGCGTACTCCTTACGAGGCTAAGGCTGCCACCGACAAGAAGCGATATGAGGTGGAGAAGGCCGCCTATCAAGTAAGTATATCGCAACCATTTTGCCAGTACAGACCCACTAACCCACTCAGGCTGGTGAAGAGGAAGAAGAAGAGTCTGAGTAGAGAGTAATCTTACCTCTTTTTCCTTGAACTTTCCTCAGCTCAGCAGATGATTGAGGCCCTCAGGATCGGTTTTTTAATGTCAGCTTGCTATTCGATGGGATCTTTGCAGTAAGCACACTGGGGAAAGCCGTATTTCATTAATCAGAACTGGACAGCCGTGGTCTGGCTCACGCTTTCACAGACGTGGCTTTCTATTTCATGATGTTCGGCGTCCTTTCTCCGAGGCGGAAGACATCACGAGGCTCATGACCCAAGTCTATGTACACTAGTAAATCACGGTATCAAAATACTTTGCTGCCAGAAGTGCTTCACCTTGGATGACCTTGATATTCTGACCCTATCTCGCACCCTTAACTAAAGCAACTAGTATATTTAAAACAATGGCAGTTATTAAAGCAAACTTCAGTAGCCAAGACACGGTTGGTTTAGATTAAGTCAAACAGTCAGGCTATCTGAAGACGATGTTCTGGCATATCCATTTCATCTCCAGCCAGCCGTCTACATGATCAATGATGAGTCTATCCTCATCGCCGCAGGAAGCTGCACAGGTATGCAAACGCCCCTTCCCTGACACCATCACCTCCCCGAACACCAACTCATAAACACTATCGAGGCCTCTAATCTTTCAGCCCCTCTACCCCTAATCACGTGTGCTAAATCTATAACGCTATTCCACCACCACTCATCAACAGTGAAAAGGCGAGTTTAGCCCAGTGGTCAGGGTACCGCCTTCCCAACCTTCCATTATGGTAGTAGGCGGGGGTCAAGAGTTCGACTCTCTTAACTCGCAAGCTGTTCTTTTTGGCACGATGATGATGCATTGACTTTTTTTTCTTGTTCACAGTTGGCGTCGTATCACACACTTCATTATTGCCTAGTCACCGAAATCCTAGGGGCAGGAGTGTGTACGATGTTTAACATGTCCAAAGGGATTGATAGTGGAGAGGCCGTGGTTGTAAAGCAATTGTTGATAAGGAAATAGTAACGCGTCAAAACGGTATTGGGTAGGCTCTGTGTAAGCGCATTAGAGCCTCATTGAATACAAACACGTGCAACACCATTGCGACCAGCACAACCTATTTCATGACTCGACGTAGCATGAAGCGAGTATTAAATTACACCTCCTTTTGCTCGTCGTGATAATAAATTCTGGAGGGGTAATGTCAACGCCGTGCTAAACAACCTAACGAAGTAGTACATAACAATGCCAAGGCCTCCGACCATGTTTCAACCACCTCAGGCAGTATAAATACCAGGAATGTTGCAACATATTTTTGATATAACGAATATGTGATACAATCACAGATGGCAGTTACAAGTTTCATTCCCTCTGTAACACCACCATTACACCCATTAAGCCTAACATGACTTGCTTTAACCATGGGTGTTCGCTCAGTAGAATAGTGACGTATCCAACAAAGGGGATAAAACCCACTACGCTTCCAATGACATCTTCTGTGCGCGTCAAAAAGGACTGACCAGTGGCATAAAGCTCCGTGTCATCTGCAGCATTGTTGTCACCTTTGGTGAGGAGTCGCAGAGGTGTTTTGCTACAATCATGTCAACAGCATGTCCCACGCAACTTTGGAATGTAGGTAGACTTACCCTCCACCATATCTCCGAACCACACGATGCACGATCGGAATATCCTTGCCCTTGACATTGTACACAACAATCTCGCCCACCTGCGTATCCATTCCTCGGTTCCATAGGAATAGCAAATCTCCCCTTTGGAACGCGGGTTCCATGGATCCTGATAGTACAACGACGATGGGTGATGGTGAATCGCTAACGACTGATAATCCTTTCCAGAGCATGAAGGCGGTCGATAGGACAAGCGCAAAGTTGAGGACCTGGGCAGCTAATTGCCGCGGTTGCATAGCTGCTAGGCCGAGCATATTTACGGTTTGGCGTGATGAGAGGAGGTTGAAGATGGGTGGTTGCAGATGTTGCAATTAGGTGTTTAGGCTTCGCGTTCGTAAGTCATGGATTCGGGAATTTAGCTATTAGCCAGATTTCCAATCGTTGCGGCGAGGCTTTGGGGGCGTGTTATGTGTGTAGTGGAGCTGCGGTTGTGGTTGTAGTCGTGCGCTTGATGCCAGATGTCCTTCGATTCGTTGGCTGCGCGCGGCCTGTCGGCTTATGTAACTTACTTCCGAGCCCAACTCCACATCTCTTTATCGTGATCTTCTTCCAGCATTCTTTTCTGCAATACGTAGACATTGTTTTACTCATGTAAATCTCATGCACACTGCCCTTTTATGCATCTAGCCAATCAGGTCCAACACGTAGTGACCCATGCTCCTTAACTCAATTTTGGGCTTGTTCACCGGTACTATCTATCACTCAAGAGTCACTCTCACTCACACTGTTCCTCTATTTTGATGGTACGATAACCACTACTCCGCATAGGCATGTCGGAATCACCTCAATAGCTGCCTGACCTCTACAAACTACTTCATGCTGAGCACGACGAACAAACACTTTCACAAACGAAGCACACCTCTAGTATTAGCCTCACCTGAAAGCTAGAATTGAAAATTTCACTATACTCACCAAGAATTCATACCTACAAGTTTTTTTCACTTAGCTTTATACTACCAAATACAAAGCATTGCCTAACAAACTTGTGGGTTTTTACAGCATCTACCCACAATGACACCCATGCATCCAGGAGCCTACGTGCTTTATAAAGATCCGGCTTCATCCCAACCACCCTGGCCAGGCGTAATTTACGATGAAAGCATCGCACCACGCGGTGTTCTAGACAGAAGACCTTCGGCCTATATGACGCTTGTGCTTCTGATAAAAGATCCCTACATCTTGTAAGTTCATATATGGGCTGCTCTAAATATGTATACTAGGCTAATCGTCCTAGCCGCTGGGCGACCAAACCACAGCTGTCTCCACTTACATCCGCCAGAGAAGCGGGAGTTTTAGTACACTCACGCGATCTCTCCAGGGCTTATAAGATGGCCCTGGACAGGAGAGAATCCGGATGGAAACTCAGAGATTGGCAGAGCATAATAGATGCAGAGAGTAACTATACTCCTTTATACCAGGGCCTCCTGGAAACCGACGATGAAGATGATTTGCGAGAAGCAAAACGCAGAAGCCTTGAAGACTACAAAAATTCGAAGTCTTGCAACTCTCTAAAATCCCCGAATGTATTGGACGAAGGTCAGGATGAGGTGGTGGAACTGTATTCGACGCCCCGCACAAAAACACACTCACAACTATCTTTCCCGAAACAGCACCAATTTTCACCTTTTCGTTCACCTTTGGATCAGCTGGTCAGTTTCGGTCAGCGTTCGGCTGCACCAACAAGTGACATAATTGAGTGTGACTTGTACGTTTTCCCGCAGTTTAAATAAAATTCCTCAACTGATTTAAAAAGGTCAGAAAGCAAAGAATTTGTTCATGTAGTCGTCGGTCCAGAGCACGAGATTCGGAAATTTCATGCAGAAATTTTATTCAAAAGGCCATACTTTCGTGACCAAAGAACTGGGATAAATTTCTTTGAGCTAAATCAGAAAGGTATATATGAATTACGCCACCCCCAACTCAATAATATTCATGTTGACGACTTCCAATTTGTGGCCGAATTCCTGACTAGTGGTGGATTTGGTATCCGACAGGCCGAGGGGGACGTACAAACACAGGAGGCAATCTTTCAATGCGTATCGGCCTGGGAAGCCGCTGAGAAACTTGGGGCCCATGATATGTTATATCACATCGCAGTCAAAGTCCAAACCCTCGCTTGGGATGACGACAACCTCTTAGCATTGGCTAATGTCGTTTATAGAAGCTCAGGGCCTGCAGTGCATGCACAAGAAGAATTGAAAGACGCACATACAGAACTAAAAGAATGGATTTCGGAAACTCTGGCACATCGCTTCTGGGCGATCATTGATGACAAGACCATTGGCAAACGATTCCGTCGGCGTTTAAAAAGATTTCCGGAGTTGGAGAGGAACGTTTTTTCCCAAAGAGCACAAAGGCTCACCATGGGGGCGGAAATGGTGGAAGATGCTGAGAGCGATGACGATAACGTTCGATAACTCTTAGGCACAGTAAAATACAGAGAACATGGATTAAATCACTAATTGTTATGGAGTTATTAGGCTTAGAGGGGCTTGATATTCCTGACCTATCACCTCGAAATTTGGCCATATAGAAACGTGGATTAGGTATACAGAGGGACTAGCTGTGCTCGGTCCGAGCCTTGTACGGCTGAAGAGCGTCTTGCAGCCAGCGCCCAATGTGTGTCGAGTCTTAGCGAGCAAGGCTTGAACGTGCTTCAACCCTCAGACCACATGCCAGCTCGGATCACCAATACAATTGTTATGGGCGGGTCGGAAAGTTCCGTAAATTGCTACCATTGATGTGCCAATGATCTTTAGGTGCAAGAGAACAGGACATACAGAGAGAAAAGACCTCGTCTGCATTTTTTTAGTGAAATGTATTTTATCGCGTTTATTTACAATACAAACGATGCCCGTCATGTAGATCCAAAGCGCTACATTTTCAACAAGCCTTTTGGAAGGGGTTCACTCTCGTACTCGCTAGCAGCTGAAAGAAACTACGCCTGGTGTAGACATGAGTATTGCAACCTTCAGCCACAAATTCTTAGCAGTCGAGGTCTAGACAACACAAAACTGCCGAGGCTCAGGCACGGCTGTTTGCGAGTAGATATGTATCGAGCTGCGGCCTTGCTATATTTCTTCAGCGAGGAGCTCAGCTTCGCTCTGCAGATCTCAAATGCACCCCATACTTACCATTGAGCTTACCAATAGTGGCGTTAACTGACATCGAACGATCTGAATTACTTCAAACAGCGTTCGAAAAGTAAATGCTGAAAGTTGCACGAGATTTATGCGAAAATCTAGTAACAGTGTTACAAAACAGTTGCACTCACCAACCAAACCGACAAGAATACTTGCCCTGGACGTTTGCTTTAAGAGAACAGAACCTCGCCCACTATGAACGGTTTCAGCTCCGGATCAGCTCTTGTCAAGTGGATTGAGGGACATAGCTTCTTTGGTCGACCAAGATTAGAGAAAAGACAGTTTCTCACTTGTCAGGTTGGTTCTCAACCCAATTATCCGATCTATATTGATTTGGACGCTGACCCACAAGCAGGCCGCAGCAAAATCTTCTGACTACGATAGTCGCTTTAATTCTTGTAAAGTCAAGGCTGCTGGCGTTTGTATGACACCAGATGATTTTACACGAACCGCCGATGCATGCGTCTGCTCGACATTAGGGGGGTATCTATCGAAATTTTCAGTGTGTTGGATGGATACACCATACTCAAACTGTTATGATGCGAGTGAGTTGTTTACCTCTATGTGATGTAACGAGACTAATTCAAACAGAGGGCAATATTGCAGCATACTCTTCGTATTCCACAAACCATTGTAAAGTAGTTGCGATCCCATCAATCACAACCCCTTCCCCGTCGTCTACCACCCCGAAACCGTCCACACCCTTAAGCCCGTCAACTGCTACGCGCATGTTAGTTCCCTCATCGTCGATTGATGTTAAGCCAGCAGTGTCATCTTCTGAGGCACCAAGGCCGCCAACAAACTCAAACCCGCCAAAATCAAACCCGCCAAAATCTTCCGATCTTCCCAGTAGGTCCACTGTTGGTCCCGTCCCCATAGTTCCCGCTCCTGCTCCTGGACCAACATCTGGAAAACCGGAAGTAAAGAGTGACCGACCAACTACGGCCCAAAGCACCCCTACATCGATCCCTGAACTCAGCCTCGTAACAATTGAGGTAGTTCG